GCCTTTCCTGGAACTCACTTGGTAGCCCAGGCTGGCCTCGAACTCACAGAGATCTGCCTGGCTCTGCCTCCCGAGTGCTGGGATTAAAGGCGTGCTCCACCACCGTCTGGCCCCCTTCCTTTTTTTAAAGAGACAGAATCTCACTATGTAGCTCTGTAGACCAGGCTGGCCTTAAACTCAGAGATCTGTCTGCCTCTGCCTCCCGAGTGTGGACTACAGTTTGTATTCACACCCCCAGCTCATTAGCAGTGTTGGTTTACTGTTTTGGATCATTTGGTCCTCATTTTTGTTCCTGTTTTTGTGATCACCATAGCAATTCTGGTCCACATTTTGATGCTGGAGTAAATAATATCCAAATTAGAAAGTAGAAAATAATGCTAATAAACATTTTTAAGTGTTTCATATTTTATTGCTTTGATATTTTATCAGTCAGATATAATGAATAGTGTCCATCTTGCACACCCTTTGGTATGTAAACCTGGTGTATACATTCATGGAAACAAACAGTATCTGTGGTTGGGTCCAAAGAAGGTTATGAAACAAGACTTTGGCAAAAACATTCTTTGTTTGATTTAAATTATTGTTTTGTAGGCAAATTTGATTAGGGGGAAAAAAGTGTTTCTTTTCTAAGTGAGGCCCCTCCATTGAGTCAATAACGAATTTGTTTGAAAATAATTCACAGCTTCTAGAACTCCAGAGAGTATAATTTTTTCCCTTTAATTAGTAGCTTTTTTTAAAAAGCCAATGCCAAATGCAATGTGAGCTCAAGTTTTTCAGATCATCTCTAAACTTAGAACCCGTGATTTTCAAGTGGGTTCTAAATTTGGCAAAATACCTCCCCCTCGCCACGGTAGCTAGCGTTTTCCCATTCTTAAGAGTTTGTTTGTTTCATTTTCTGAGCAAGAAACACTTTTTCTTTATTTTTAAATAATTGTTTCTATTTCCCCTTTGGTGAGTACCAAATGCCACAAACCCTCTTTATCAATGCAGTCAACAGCAGCTTCTTGAAAGTCATGCGCTTCTCTCTTCCCTGTTTGGGAGGGTCCCCACACACAGTCTCACTAATTAGCCCCAAAAAGAGGGTCCAGGGAGAAGGCTCAGTACATAAGCAGTTCACCAAATGAGTTCAGATCCCAGCACACACGGAAGAGCTGGGCATGCGGCGCATGTCTACAATCCCTCGCTGGAGAGGTGGATACAGGAAGCTCTCTAAACTTGCTGGTCACAGCCTGCCTGAATCACTGAGCTCCAGGCACAGTGAGAGACCCTGTCTGAAAACAGCTGGACTGATGGAGGAAGGCATTTGATAACAACCTCTGGCCCACATAAGCATATATACACAGGTACAACCCACATGAACATGTGCGCATAACACAGATACACACACCCATCACACACACACATCTGTCACACACATACCAGTCACACACGCACACATACCACACACACACACACATCTGTCACACACATACCCGTCACACATGCACACATACCACACTCACACATACATCCATATCACACACACACCACACACATACCCTTCACACACATCTATCACACACATACATACATCTCTCACACATGCACATCACACACACACACACACACACACACACAATCCCCCAATCCTCCACTCATCCTCCCAGAAAGAACTGGTGTCCAAACTTGACGGTGGTGAGTAAGCTTGAGTGAAGGTAGACACCTCTCTCTGGACTGGGTGGTGGTGGCACACGCCTTTAATCCCAGCACTGGGGAGAGAGAGGCAGGTGGATCTCTGAGTTCAAGCCTGGTCTACAGAATGAGACCCAGGAAAGCTGGGCTACACAGAAAAACCCTGTCTCAGAAAAGACAAAAAAAAAAAAAAGAAAAAAAGAAAAGAAAAAAAAAGATTGCATTTCCCACAGATCCCTCATAAAAGCAATTGCGCAGTCCTTGTCCGTTTGTCCGTTTGTAATAAGCAGTCTGCAGCGTTCACCCCTGTTGTAGCACCTCTCAGAATCACATTCCTTTTATGGCTGAGTACTTCCTCTTTAAGTACATGTCGCGTCCAGTGTACCCACTGTGCTGGTTAACGTTGACGTTGACCACGTTGACGTGACAGGACGTAGATCACCATGGGAACAAGTCTGGCGTGTGTGAGGGGTTCCCTGGATGAGATTACCTGAGGTGGGAAGCCTCACCCTGAGCAGCACCATTCCATGGGCTGGGGTCCTGGCCTGACTATGAGAGGGTGGGTGCTGAGCAGCGCGGCATTCATTACGGGGGCTTCCTGACTGTGGACACAATGTGACAGGTATCCCGTTCACACTGGACTGAGCAAGTGTAAGCGAAGACAGGCTTTCTCTCTCTATCCCTGGCTGGCCTGGATCTCGCTCTGTAGACCAGGCTGGCCTCGAACTCAGAGATCACCTGCCTCTACGGGCTGGGATCAAAGGCATGGGCCACCACCGCCTGGTGCTTCCTTCTTTCTTAAATGTTAGGTATTTGATCACAGAAATGAGAAAATTAGCTAAATATACCCATTTATATACCGATGGATGACCATTAACTTATGATGCCTAATACCTTGCTTTGATTCTAGCCTGGTTCAGCCCCTCCCCACTTTTCTCCTCTTCTCCCTCTCCTCCTCCTCCTCCTCCTCCTCCTCCTCCTCCTCCTCCTCCTC